CTCTCTCCTTAGTCTCAAGAGTGGCTGGGACTACAAGAGAGTGACCCCATGCCCCGCTAATTATTATTTTTATTTTTTATTTTTTTGTAGCAGTGAGGGTCTCACTTTGTTGCCCAGGCTGGACTCAAACTCCTGGCCTCAAGTGATCCCTCCACCATAGCCTCCCAAGGCCCTGGGATTAGAGACAGACCTGAGCCACTGTGCCTGGCCTGAATTCTGTTTTCTTTGTGGAGGGAGGGAGAATAGCATGAGAAGATGGGTCCTGTTCCTCACCTCCCCAGCAACTAGCCTTAAGGCAGAAGAGGAGAATTGGGGTAGTCTTTATTTGGGAGGAGGAAACAGCACTTTCTCATAAGGTATCAGGGTTTGGTGTTTCTCTCCTAGGAAGAGAATAATACTCTCACACCCCCAAAGCTAATAGGAGCCCAGGGAAGTCTTGGCTTAGTTGGGTGACCATGCTGTGAAATAGAAATATAAATGTGGGCCAGGTGCAGTGGCTCACGCTTATAATCCTAGCACTTTCCGATGCCGAGGCAGGCGAATCTTAAGCCCAGGAGTCTGAAACCAACCTGGACATTATGGCGAAACCCTATCTCTACTGAAAAAACAAAACGAAACAAAACAAAACAAAAATTAGTTGGGTGTGGTGGTACATGCCGGTAATCCCAGCTACTCATGTCACTGAGGGATGAGAATCGTTTGAACCTGGGAGGCGGAGGTTGCAGTGCGTCGAAATGACACCATTGCACTCCAACCTGGGCTCTGTCTCAAAAAAAAAAAAAAAGAAGAAGAAGAAAGAAATATAAATGTGAGTCACATATGAAATTGGAAATGTTCTAGTAGCCACGCTTAAGAAAGTAAAGAGAAACAAGTGAAATAATTTTAATAACAAATTTTATTTAACCCAGTATGTCCAAAATAATATCATTGCAACCTGTAATTAATCATTGCAACCTGTAATTAATACACAAACGATTAATGAGACATTTCACAGTTTTTGTACTAGATCTTTGAAATTCAATGTGTATTTTTTACTTTCCTCCCCTTTTTTTTTTTTTTTTTTTTTTTTTTTTTTTTTTTTTTTTATGGAGTTTCACTCTTGTTGCCCTGGCTGGAGTGCAGTGGTGTGATCTTGGCTCACTGCAACCTCCGCCTCCTGAGTTCAAGCGATTCTCCTGCCTCAACTTCCCAAGTAGTGGGATTACAGGCATGTGCCACCACGCCTGGCTAATTTTGTATTTTTTAGTAGAGATGGGGTTTCACCATGTTGGCCAGGCTGGTCTCGAACTCCTGACCTCAGGTGATCTGTCTGCCTCAGCCTCCCAAAGTTCTGGAATTACAGGTGTGAGCCACTGCACTCAGCCTTACACCACAATTTTTATTAGCCACATACCAACAGCTCAATAGCCACATGTGACTCATGGCTATAACATTGGACAGAACCATTTCAGACCACAGATTCTGGAAATGAAGATGTAGAAATCTCAGCATTTCTGCATCCTAAGATTGCCTTTGGAAGGACTCTCAGGACATCTGGTCAAGCCCCTCACACACAAGGAAATGACTTTCCTCGAGGAGACCCACTGCTCCTAGCAAAGTTGATGTCCTCACGTGTGCATCCCAGTCTGGGAAACTCCCCCATTCCAGCAGCCTCCCACCAATGGAGATGGGCTGCTGACAGCCAGCCTCAGGGTGCAAAACAGGGGCAAGGGGTTTTACACCTTCCTTTTACACAGGAAGACACTGGAAGGATGTAGAATGGACCCTACCCTGGCGACTTCCTCTCCTCTGTCACCTTCTCCCTTTCTGGAGGGAATGTCACAGCCTGGGCACAGAGCGGACAGGAATTCTTTTGTTAACTTCCCAAACTGCAATGTAGACTTAGGCCCACCCCTTACCTTCTGATTCTCCTCTCTCCATACTCATGGCTGCCAACAATGAGCTAGACCCTGCAAGCTACAAAGATAAGAGGCAGAGGCCCTGGGAAGGAGAAACTTTGCTGAGACTTCATGGGGGAAGAAATAGTTAATTTTGCCTGGGGACCCAGGGCAGGCCTCCCTGGGGGAGGAGATGTCTGAACAGAAGGAGCAGTGGGGTGGGGAGGCTGGGGGTGGGGGATGTTAGTGATGATGAGAGACAGCAGCTGAAGGGAAAGGGCCTCCAGGAAGAGGGTGACAGTCCAAGAAAGGGGCAGTATGAGGGAACTGGTCTCCTATTTTCCCAGGGGCCATGGCCACTGCTGCTCTTTCTCCTCCCAGAAGTTGCCTTGACTTCCCCTATAAGAAAGGGAAAGGAGATTCCTTTTTTTTTTTTTTTTTTTTTTAATAAAGACAAGGTCTCCCTTTGTTGTGCAGGCTGGTGTCGAACTCCTGGCTTCAAGAGATCCTCCTGCCTCTGTCTCCCAAAGTGCTGGGACTATAGGCTTGAGCCACTGTGCCCGGCCAGAGAGTCTGTTTAAAAAAAATCTGTCTGCTTCACCTGAGTTCCTAAAAAGACAAGCACATGGTAGGCAGCCAATGAAGGCTTGTTAGTGAATAGAGGAGAAGGCAGACAGCGGACGAAGGGGCTATCAGGCTGAGACCAGGCCAGCTGGGTCCCCGAGTAGCAGATGGTGGAGGGGCAGGAAGGGGACTGGTGTGTCCTGAGCATCTGGTTTGTCTCCTCATCTTCAGGATCTCATTCACTCCCACTAGAGTGAGAGGTAGGTGGTACTGCTCCCATTCTACAGAGGAGGAAAATGAGACTCAGAGAGGTTCAGTGACCATTTGGGGTTATGGCTTGTTCTGTCTGATTTCAAAAGCCCATCTTTCTAGGTGCTTTCTGACATGTCCTCACCTGGTTATTGCCAAAAACTAAGCAGTGACCAAGTTCTTGGTAGGCACCTGTGCCTTTGAATTCCTGGTGAAGTGGAGGGTTCCTGGAAAGGTTTTCTGAAACAGAAGGTCACTACCAGGCTTGGTGATCACCCAGTCCCATTCCTCTCCACCCCCAGGTAAGGATGGGAGGCAGTTCTGAGAGGTAAAGTGGCCTGCTCACATGGGGAGTGGGTGACTGGAGGTGGGATTGACCACCCTGCCCCTGGGCACTGACTCATGGCAGCTGCTGTGGGAAAGCCACTTCCAGCCTTGACTTTCCCAGCCAGGCAATGGGTAGGATTGCTTTGCCGAATCCGCTTGGGCCTGGAGCCAGGGAACTGGGAAAAAGCTGAGCATAGCACATTGCCAGGGTACCTCACCCTCTCCCTGCTCCCAGTGCCAACAGCTCGCATGGCGCATCCCTCCTTGTGGGCAGGAGCCTTTCCAGTTTCCAGAGGGACTAGGCCAGGCCCAGGCCATGATGCTCCTCAAATCCCCAGTACCCAGCACAAATCCCCAGTACCCAGTACACACCCACCATGCTGGTACGCTGAGGACTGTCTCAGTTTCAGCACATCCTGCGTCCTAGGAACTCAGTCCTGGGCAAACCTGGATGGTTAGTCTCCCTAGCCCTGCACCAAATTCATAGTTGGCACTCAAGAAATGTTCTAAGTAGGACAGTTATGGTGGCTCATGCCTGTAATCCCAGCACTTTGGGAGGCCGAGGTGGGAGGATTGTTTGAGCCCAGGAGTTTGAGATCAGCCTGGGCGACATAGGGAGACCCCATCTCTACAAAAAATAAAAAGATTAGCCGGGTATGGTAGCGCGTGGCTATATTCCCAGCTATTCAGGAGACTGAGCCAGAAGGATCACTTGAACCTGGGAGGTCGAGGCTGCAGCAAGCCGTGATTGCGCCACTGCACTCCAGCCTGGACAACAGACTGACTCTGTCTAAAAAAAAAAAAAAAAAAAAGAAAGGAAAAGAAATGTTCCCAGTAAATGAAGGAAATTAGCAAACTAAAGAACAACAAATGGGCCACAGTGCTGTGAGGGAAAGAGAACAAGGACTGCTGACCTCATTTTGTAGCTGAGGAATGGAGGCCTGGAGAGTTTAAAAGTTCAGGCTACCCATCTCTATCTCATGCCTTTCCTCTGCACCAGATCTCAAAACCAGATCTCAGGGAACACCCTGAGAATTTTGAGCTGGTCCCTGGGGAGAGAAGCAGCTGGGCCAAAGAGAAGGCTTTCAGTGGCTCTGTGCCTAAGCTTAGGCTGGAAGGGACACCGAAAGATGGGGAGGAGAGGGGCTGCTCTATTTTTTTTTTTTTTTTTTTTTGAGACAGAGTCTCGCTCTGTCACCCAGGCTGGAGTGCAGTGGCGCGATCTCAGCTCACTGCAAGCTCTGCCTCCCTGGTTCACGCCATTCTCCCGCCTCAGCTCCCGAGTAGCTGGGACTGCAGGAGCCTGCCACAACACCCGGCTAATTTTTTTGTAGTTTTAGTAGAGATGGGGTTTCACCATGTTAACTAGGATGGTCTCAATCTCCTGACCTCCTGATCTGCCCGTCTCAGCCTCCCAAAGTGCTGGGATTACAGGTGTGAGCCGAAGCGCCCGACAGTGGGGCTGCCGTATTCCGACTGCATAGCGAAGAGCCTTGGTGGCCCTGCCTGCCTGGGTAGGTGCAAACCTGGCTTCAGCCACTGCTAACTGTGTGGCCTTGAGCAAGTGACATATTCTCTCTGCTTTAGTTTCCTCATCTGTAAAATGGGAATACCATAATGATGCCCAGCTTTTGAGGTTTTTGCAAGTATTAAATGAGATAATGCATAGAAAGTAATTAGCACAGTGCCTGGCACAGCATAAATGCTCCAGAAATATCGGCTGTTTTTCTTTTATATATATATATATAAAATATGTGTATTTCTTTTTTATTAATGTATTTTAAATTTTATTTATTTGTTATTATTATTTTGAGACAGGGTCTCCCTCTGTCACCCAGCCTGGAGTGCAGTGGTGCAATCTTGGCTTACTGCAGCCTCAGCTGGGCTCAAGCAATATTCCTGCCTCAGCCTCCCAAAGTGCTGGGATTACAGGCATGAGCCACTGTGCTTGGCCTTTTTAATTTTTTTAAAAATTTTTAAAAATTTTTTAAGGTTTTTTGGCTGTAAGTTTATTCAAGGCAAAAGAATCCTCTTCAATTTTACTGAGGTGGCTGACCACGTCCACGACCAAATCCGCCTCTAAACTGGAATTCGGTTGCTGACCCAGCCCCAGACTCGGCTTTCTTGTCAGCACCAGGTGACACAGCACTCCCTCTGTAGGTATCTCTGTCAGCTTCCCCTCTTGTGAGTCTCGCAGGTCGCTCACCCTCCAGACCTTTAGGCCGAGGCCTGCCAGTCTCTGGACGGCTACGGCGTAGGGTGGCAGGCACAGTCTCCGGGGGCAGATGAAGGTAATCACAGATATACTGGATACCCTCATTGGTAAGGTACCAGTAGAAATGTCTCCAGTCTAACTGTTCCTTCACGTAGCCTCCGGACTTGAGAGACTGCATGGCCTTCATGACATGAAGGTTCGGCACATTCTTATCTGCCAGCTCCGGGTGCTTAGGCATGTGGACATCCTTCTTGGCCACCATGACTCTCTCCTTAAAAAGGAGTTCATAGCACTTTGGGAGGCCAAGACGGGCGGATCACGAGGTCAGGAGATCGAGACTATCCTGGCTAACACAGTGAAACCCCGTCTCTACTAAAAATACAAAAAACTTAGCCGGGCGAGGTGGCAGGCGCCTGTAGTCCCAGCTACTCGGGA